ATTTATACTGGGGCACGTGCCCCAGTAAATGGGGTCTGGCGACGCCGATGGAGATAGACCTTTTATTATCAAGGTCCTCTACTATGGAACCAACTACCAGTTTTAGTCAGTGAGGCAGAAATCCTGTCTACTTTTAAGGGTTGGCTTTAAACTTTCCTTTTTAAAAAAGCTTGTAGTTAGAGTGTCTCAGCTATCTCTATAGTCTTAGGCTTAGACTGCTGGAGGACATAGGGACCCCTTTTCATCATTCTACTTCATTCTCTACTCTCCCATTCTGCAGTATTTGTTAGTTCAACCTTTATCAATACGCTCTCGCTGCTTTTTCTAAGCTTTATCTGTTTTGTTGCTCTTTGGCTCTGACGCCATCCTGGAAAAAAAAAACAGCTGTGCTGATGTCATCAACACCTTTGTCTATGGATGTTGGAGCTTGGCCTGTTTTTCAGTATAGTCCTGTTTCTCTTACTTTGACTAACTGTATGTGCTCTCTTTCATCCTCTGATATGTGGCTCAAAGAGTCGATGCAATCAGCTGGTTTTCCATAGATAAAATTTTTTTAACCAGTCTGACTGTGTGATATGGTTGAATTATCTATGTAAAGTGCCTTGAGTTGTGTTGTGAATTGGCACTATATAAATAAACAGAATTTAATTGAGTTTAAATGAACTGGCGCACTCCGTGGTATCTCTTCTGTGCTTGGAACATGGCTTGATTTATTTATTTTTTTCCTCTTTTACTGTATAGTTTTAATTTTACAATTTTGTTTTTTTTCCATATTTTTTAGTCTAGTATGTATGCTTTTGTCGCTCTTGGCTTTGTAAATGACCATCTCAATTTTCAAACTGTTGGACAATATGCTATTTTTCTTTTGTTGTTTTTATCCTATTCAAACCAAGTCAATCATTAAGTGTTAAGGTTGTGAGAAGCTGGTGTGCATATGGAATTAGACCCAAGAAATCAAACGTGACATATTCTCACCCCAGCTGATATACACATCTTGTGATCAATGAAGTCCATGCTGTACAACATGAAGCACACAACACAGCATGCCATGAAGAGAAAGATGAAGCCATACTTCACAGGGTAACGGTTTCTGGAAACTCGTCCTTCATTTAGAAGAGGTGACCGGATCTCACTCTGAATTGAATGACAAAAAGATAAAAACAAACAGTTCTTATAGTTTGGTGTGAATGCTTTTGGATGCATTTGAAACATCCATTCATATCTTTTTTTTTTTCATAATTTAAAGCAGTGTTTTCAGTTTTGGTTGATTTTGGCTCCCCTCCAGTGGACAAAAGCAATATTGCTTTGCCTGAAGGAAGACAGCATTTCCAATCAGGACCATCACTTGGCCTATTGTTCCTGTTACCTGCAGTTTCTACATTTCCGTTCCGGAGGCTGTGTGAAAGATGAATAGCCATTAGGTAATGAATCTAATAGTGGGGAAAGAATGTCCTATGACTGTGGTTTTGTACCATATTCCTGCACCGTCACCTCCGCCGCCCCCCACCTCATTGGACTCATAAGTGACTGATGTGTTAAAGATTTTATAGCCTTGAACCAGATAAATATAATATTACAATTCATAATGTTATAGTAAACAGACTTATAGATCAGAGTAGGAAGGTGCTGCATTTGCCTGAATATCAACCCTGCACAATTTTCACAAATAAACAGTCTCTCGGGAAAATTTTTTCATGTTCCATCTTTACAACGAATGGGAAAAGGGGGGAATGAAGCATCCCGTAAGGCTGTCTGCAAATTTGTAGTTGTTTGGTGTGGCACGGTTACTGCCAACCTCCTCAAAGTTGCTTAGTGCTGCTGAAAGAGATACAAACCCCCTTGGGCCATGACATAAGTGCCATTCAGATAGTTGTAAGTCAATATACAGTGGGGCAAAAAAGTATTTAGTCAGCCACCAATAGTGCAAGTTCTCCCACTTAAAAAGATGAGAGAGGCCGGTAATTTTCATCATAGATATACCTCAACTATGAGACACAAAATGAGAAAAAAAATTCCAGAAAATCACATTGTCTGATTTTTAAAGAATTTATTTGCAAAATATAGTGGAAAATAAGACTGTCACTTGGCAATCCAGGAAGATTTGTACAGAACTTTTTTAGGTTTATCCCCTGCTCAGTGTGAGACTCAAACAATCCTTCCCTTCCAGGGGGAGAAGGCCAAACATCCAGCTTGCAGGAAGGCTGCCCAAAACTGGCAAACACTCTGGCGTCGAGGTAGTGACAGTCCATGGCTCAAATAGTCCTCAGTGATTAGTCAACCAGCCGCAGGTGTGTGAGAGGACCGACGAGGACAGGGCACCACCTGGTGTTGGAGGGAGAGAAGACACAAAAACACAACCCACACAAACTGGATTCCTAACAAATCTTTCTCACCATCCTTAGCATATTTTTTGAACTTGCATTGCTGTGAGGAACGCACAGTAGACCTTTATTAGTCTTGGCAGCTCACTTAACCTCACATCCTTTCCTACAAGGTCCCAGAATATGTCAATATTGTCTTTTGTTGGAGTTGCTTGCTATATATGACATGGTATTCAATAAGATCAACTTAAGGGAACAGGGATCTTAGCCCTTCCATTGTAAAGTAAAATAAATGTTTCAATGAACATTGTAATAAACTGTCCAAAGTTACATTAATCAATTATTTATATTAACATGAAGCTGACTCTGTCCCTTCAAATAATGACGAGGCGAGAAGCAGGGTCAGATCTTTTAGGACCCCGATGAGTGGCTGGTTGAGAGGAACAGAGGATAAGTTCTTTTGTAAAACGGGCTTCTCACAGATCTACAACAGCATAATAATTAAAACAGCATAAGAGGTAAAGAAAATACAGCCTATACTTGCATACTGTTGAAAAGATTTGATAAATAAAAATGTTCTTCTCTGCTGACACAGGGAGCTTTGCATCTGCTCCAATGAAAAGCTCTTCATCAACCAACTGATATCTTTCTCCATACTCCACCTCCCTGAGAGGTGCACCCATGATGGTCCAGGTTGGTGAGATGTAACTCAGGATCCTCCTGATCAGCCTATCTCCTTTTGAGTCTATAAATGTGTACTCCCTGTAGCTGTAGTGAATATCATTGGTCAAAACAACAACACAAAATTAAATAAAATGCTTGAATAATATCATATTTAAATCTAAAGTGCTGTTATTTACCTATTCATTCAACTTGGAAGTTCATATAAATTTTAGATAAAGGCTTGAGGGCACCACTCAGAAGTAATCATCAGCAAAGAATTTGGTAACATCCATACTTCGCCATGATTTTCCAAAGGCCTTCTCTAGAAACAGTATCAAAAGCCTTGGTGAGATCGACATAGGTGGAGTAGAGGTCGGTGTTCTGTTCCTGACACTTCTCCTGTAGCTGTCTGGCAGCAAACACCATGTCGATGGTCCCACGTTCTTTCCAGAAGCCACACTGGCTCTCAGGTAAGAGGCCTTGCTCAAGGTGATCAATGAGGCAGTTCAGCAGAACTCTCGCCAGGATCTTCCCTGTGATGGACAGCTGGGAGATTCCACAATGATTGTCGCAGGCTTGGCGGTTTCCTTTGCTTTTGTAGAGGTGTATGATGGAGGCATCCTTGAAGTCCTTTGGTACTGTCTTGTGCTGCCAGATGAGCTGAAAGAACTGGTGAAGTTTCTCTATCAGGACCACACCACCTTCTTTGTAGACCTCAGTGGGGATGGAGTCTGAACCAGCTGCTTTGCCACTGGATAAGAGTTGGACTGCTTTCTGGATCTCCTCCAAAGCTGGTATGGCGTCCATTGTCTCTTCAACAGGGACTTGAGGGAGCCTGTCAATAGCCTCATCATTGATGGTGGAAGGTCTGTTCAGAACGCTATCAGAACGTTCTGCACATCTTTCTAGGAGTTTCTCTTTGTCAGTAATCAGCGTTTTCCCGTCAGCACTGAGGCCAGGGAACCTGAAGAGGTAGGGCAATAGACTTCCTACAAGCTGTCATAGAAGTTCTTCATGTCATTACTGTCTGCAAAGCCCTGGATCTTGTCAGCTTTGCTGCTCAACCAGGAATCCTGCAACTTTGCTTGAATGGTGCTCTTCACATTCCTCAGTCTGTCCTTCTTTGATACTGATCTTGGGTCCTCAAGATGGGCTCTGTAGGCACTGTGTTTTTCCTCCAGCAGCTACTTGATCTCCATGCAATTTTAATCAAACCAGTCCTTGTGCTTCCTGGCGGACGGCCAGAGGCACTCCATAGCTGTGTTATACACCATGTCATGGAATGTGGCCCATGCGGTCTCAACATCCTGACCTTCCAGGACAGTGGAGTCCAAGCGTTCATCCAAGGTGATGACAAAAGACTGCCTGATGTTGAGTATGCAGTACTTGCAGTATTCAAGGTGAGACAGTCAGTAGGAAAGTTCAAAGCATTTATTAAATAACAACCAACGAAACTAAAATGGAGCTACTATGATCTATGGCTCGCAGATACTGCAGGAGGGGGGTGGGGCACCGCCCAATCTCTGACACTCTGGTTTAACAGTTCAGTCCATTACCCTTGAAAGGGCTGCGATCCAGCAGGTGGGCTGACACCCAGTGTCCCCAGTGCTGCAGCTCCGGAGGATTTGCAGGAAGCCGATCCTGGACAGGGCTTCAGAACAGGCAGGATCCAGGCTTCCAGGCATCCTAGAGCTCCCAGGAGGGTTCAGAGTCCAGAAGCGTGACCACGCGGACACGCACAGGAGCAGACAGGATTAGGTGTAGATGGGCAGGCTCAGTGGAAGAGGGTAGCCAAGACAGGAGGTGGAACCAGAACTTGAGCAGGACCGTTAAACTGCTCTCCACCTTGGAGCCAGGCTTACTGGAATAAAACTGATCCTCCCCCGCATAAAGAGCCAAAAACCCAAAGGGCTCAGCAGGGGAGGAACAGTGGATGAGCAGTAGACAAAACAGACACAAAACCCTCTTTCCACTGGCCACCAGGATCCAGGACATGAACCCTAGAATAAACAGAACCGAACAGACTGAACAGAAAACAACATCTAATGATCTGGCCATGATAGCTGGAACTGAGCGCAATATAAGGGAAACTGGAAGGTGGATGAGATGAATGATAACTAGGAGCTGGAAAGGGTGAAGCAGGTGAAAGGAATGAGTATTCAAGGACAGCTATCACAGCAGATCATGACAGCCATATGTTGTTGCTATCTGACAGTGGCGAATAATAACAAAGATGGCGCAGGCCCTGTGCAGTGGAGGGGGATTTATGTGACCAACAGGGAGCAAAAAGCAGTGATCATCTATCCAAACGTTAAGTAAACTGAGTTCGCTATAAACTATATAGTCCCCACTCTATATAGTGATTGAGGGATTTCGATTTGTATACATTCTGTGTTCACAAAGTGACAATAAAAGTTGTCTAAGTCTAAGATTTAGGAGTTAGGGCAGACGTTCAGACACAGTAAGCTTGTATGAGCTATGAGAACAGCAACTGTTAAATAGGGCGTGGACGACAAGAAATTGACTCATGCATGTCCTTGTACGTGTTTAATCGCTGTTCCCTCTTGGGTGTTGGTAGAGGGTTGTTTTTTTTTTTTTTTTAAGTGCAGAGGGCCGTTGTTTTCACAAATTTGCGAAAATCTTCCACTATACCTTTAATTTAATATTCGCAAGTGCAACAAAAGCATTAGCCTTCCAAGTGGTTACAGGTGGCTAAATTACCTTTTCACTGTAGAGTCAAGTAATTTTTAAATACCGAATTATTTAAATCGGGTGTGTTGAAGTAGAGAAACATCTAAATGGTGAAAGACACCAGTCATTGAAGACTTTAAATTAAGCATTGTGTTATAGGATTTGGTCATTGGGTCAGCTTTTTCCAAAGCATAGTTCAGTCGATTCACTGTCCAAATTTTGTTTGCTGAGAACAGCTGCTTGTGTTTTTCTCTTTGCAAGGCAACATTATTTGACACTGGTTAAAACACTGTTAATATGCAACTGTTTTCAGACATCAGCACTTCTGATGTGTTGATGGCTACTTTTATATGTGAAAGCTGGTAACTTAAATCATGATGTCCCTAGTCTGCAGGTTGGTTGGGTGAAAAAAAGAATCACATCAAAATGAATCAGTCACAGTAAATTTTATTTGTAAGGTCTGCAGCTAACATTCATTGTGTGCTTTAGCACAGAACCTAAATATGACTACACCACATATTTATCGGAAATACTGATAAGATCTCAAAATCCATTAGCAATTTAATAATGTGAGAAACTAATTTAGTTTGGCAATCAAGAATCTGAATTATGGAGCAAACGGAATGAAAATGAATAGTTATGAATGTCATGGCTTGGACCCCATATCAAATTATTGTTTTTCTTGGATCAGCCAGAGCTATAATTTGTGCTTTGTGAGGTTGTCATTCTCCTTATTTCATCAAAAATAATTTAAACTGAAAATAACTTACCTAAAACTAGAAAATAAATTTGCTCCTAATGCTGTAGGAACAGGCACACATTATTTAACTATGCACTTCTATATTACTATTTTTGTATTTTCAGCCTTCAAATAACATTTCCTTAGTTGTAGAGCAATAAGGGTACTAACTTTGCCTTAAAGAAAGCACAGTTATAACATGGATGTTATCAAACAGTTGCCTTGGAATGGATAAGGAGGGTGAATAAAGGATAATTAGGAGGAGGTGCTCTACAGCACCTGTGGCTGCCAGTACAATATAGCTATAAAAACAAAATCCTTGTACCAAGGTTTGCTTGAAAGATATAGTATTTTTAAGGAATTTGCCCAAGGTTTAACACTTGCGCTTTGCTCAATCTTATTAAATTGTGTCAGGGTTGATTTTTTTTAGATCTGTTTAACTTATCAAACAAAGATATACTAGTGTAGCATAATGTTCAGCATCAATGAGCATTATTTCTCTCAAGGAAATTTCAATAATATAAATATTTTAAGATAAATGCAGCCTGCACAAACAGTTAGCTTTTCAATGTGGACATGAAACATTGAAAACATTCTTAAGTTCACAAATGCGCCCTGCTTGTGCATGATTATTGTATCAAAAACAGTGACTTTTTAAAGTTTGAAATGACTGGCAAAGAGTGGTTCATTTAGAATTTTAGAAGTTTTAAGTAACTTTCTCCTGTCTTTTTGAGGCTTACCTTTATGTTTTTCTTCATTGTCATCTGAAATGTTGTCATATGCACAAAGACGTCTCTACCGCAATCTCCTCACAGGGTGTAACCAGTAGACGCTGTCCTTACAAATGAAAATTCTTTTGGCTCTAGTTCCGGGTTTAATCCGGGCCAATCACTACCATAAAAATTGCAGAGTTCTTATTCTTATCTTTGTTGTTTGGAAACTGAAATAAATATTACTTTTTATTCAGTATTATGAGAGGTGTGGCAGTTGGGAAAGGACAGTCATACACCATACTCAAGTTCGCCAAAATACAAAGGAATTCAAACCAAAAAGTTAGTCACAGGTGGCATGATCAGGGACTGTGCTAGTTTTTTTTGGGTGCCCTAAGTGCAAATGCTTTGTATTGCCTCCTAATGAGCACACCAATCCACTTTTTTCACTTCATGCAATTTCAGTTTAGAACACTTATAAGATTAGCAGTGTTGGGCAGGCTACTTGTCCAGTGTAGTGAGCTAAGCTATCAGTTACTCAACAATAAATTAAGCTTCACTACACAAAAGCTACCACCTAAAGAATTATAGCAAGCTAAGTTACACTAATGTGTTAAAAGTACAGTAGCTTAACTACATCAGAAGCTACTTAACGTTGTACCAACCTAATATCAATTCCAAATTAGTCTGATACACTGGTTAAAATATTTATTAAAGATCAGCCAATGACATAACACAGTGTAAAAATTGCTTTATGATCAGCATAATAAAAAAACTAAAGTAATTACTAGTAGACAAAAAAATAAACAATCTGCTGTTTTTAGAACAAAATTAAAGGTACTGTGTAGTGTTCTACACATCGAGACATGGCTATGAGTTTGCATTCAATGGACATCTCTAGGGAAAACAAAACCCTACAAAAGGCATCTTATTTCTTTAGGGTCTCCCTTAGAGAAAACTTCTTCAGACCTCAATTAAACAGTCGATTCAAGTAACAAATAAAACTGTTTACAAAAGAAGGTGAAAAAATAAAGAAGCTAATTAAGAGATATATAAACATTTATGTCTCACCGTATAATTTAATTTCAACCTACATATTTATTCATTGTATTTTGGGGGGTAATTAATTGAATGCTTTATTTATTGAGCATGTATTTATTCATGTATTTATTTTTATACATGGGAGAGCTGTTCCTCCATACCTAAAAAATCTTATCTGTGCAAATAAGCCTTAAAACATCTGAACACGTACTTTTTATCAGAGGATTCAACGAGTTTCAAAATCTCTGAAGATCAGGCCACAGTGTGGTAGCGATCCTGTGTGTGTGGCTGTGTGTCTGCGTGTGTCTGTGTGTGTCATTCTTTGAGTTCCACTGCAGTATGCATGCGCATGTTTCGTAGACACAGACAGGAGAGGCACATGCATGAATGTCCAACGAATAACTCCGATTGTTGTTTCAAAAGTAGAAAACCTGGTTTCATTACTTAGTTTTACCCTGGATTTTGTAGCGTTTGAGGACCCTACGTCGCTACTTGACATGTAGTTAAACTAATAGCTTCGCTACATGTAGTGGCGCTACTGCCCATCACTGAAGATTAGTAACTTATAAGATTGCCCATATTATGTATCAAAAAACGTTTTTTTTTTTTCATTAGAGATGCTCATC